CTCCTCTCCCTCTGTAATCCATCAATTTGGGGTCTTGGTATCAGGCTTTTGAGGGTCACAGCCTCACAGATTCAAGACCTATAGGATGCGTCTTTTTCCTGAAAAGGGGTTGGTGGCGAAAAGCTCAGAATGAGATGATCCTCGCATTGTTTGTTCTCGCAGTTCGTTCATGGTCCTTGTCATGCCATATGCTGAAGGCTATACTAGAAGACTATACTTGAAGACTATACTAGAAGACTATACTAGAAGACTATACTAGAAGACTATACGAATAATGTCTTTAGTATAGTCTTTACTCCTGTCTGTGTCTATGTCCATATGGGCGTTCAGCCACATGGGCGTTTGACTTTACTTCTAGTATAGTCTTCTAGTATAGTCTAGCTGCGTGCAAGTGGCCCGTTCAGCCACATGGGCGTTTGACTCGCATCTTCGGTAGCATAGCCTTACTGTCTGTGTGTATCTTGATATATGTCTATATATATCGTCAAATAGATATGTATGTATATGTCTCTGTATAACTATATTTTCATATATCTCTGCCTGCCTGCGTGGTTGTGGGAGGCTCGCGCTCAACTATATCTGTATGATGGAGGCACAGCAAAGGGGGAGAGCTGGAAGATTAATAAATAAAGGGAAAACTAGGGCGCTGTCACGGTTGTAGTTTGGAAATGCGCTTCGGTCACATTTTCGTGAATGTTGGGTCAAACCGAGCAAAACTGTGAATGTATACAACCTAGGTTCAGGGTCGGGTGGGGATGTGTTGCATTCGAGGGATGCCTGAACTGGATTCAAAACTGAAATGGAGACTGCACCCTAGTTTAGTTACCCCATAAATAAAAGACAAACCACAAAAGAAGCCAAAGTAAGGGTGTGTACTCACACTAGCACTTTCCTAAAAAATGTATCTATCTCCAATTTCGGCCAGACGTAGATGAATCTGACCGCAATCACGTCCAGACTCCAAAGCTTAGAAGAAAAAAGTCCTCGTGTGAGTATGCCCTAAGGAAAGAAAAGAAAACGACTGCACTGCAAATGTATAAAAAGAACTGCTTCAGTGTTCTTCCTGCTGTCTGCTATTTTTTCTTCGTTTTGTTTTGCAATCGTGCACTCTTTTTTTTTTTTTTTTCCCAGTTGATATATGTATGGCAATGTATTGTGACATACGTATGTGTGACATACGTATGTGTGACATACGTATGTGTGACATACGTATGAAGTACTATGAACTAAAAAAAAAGAGTGCACTTTGCGAAACAAACAATAAAAATTAGAGAAGATTAGCATAGCCCCTGCGCAAGGATGACACACATAAATCGAGAAATAGTCCAAATTAAAAAAAAAAAAAAAAAAAAAATCCAGAATGCAAATTCACATTGTAAGGCCAGAAAGTCCAACGCTGTCCGGAAAGCAGAAATGAGAGCATACTCTCGCCACCCCCACCAACGAAGAACCAAAGCGCCGAATCCGGATCCGAATGTCAATGAGAGCATACTCTCGCCGCCCCCACCAACATAAGTATCCGGAGCCCTTCCTCCTACTTGGCGCTCAGCGCCCAGACAACAATCACGCAGTTACTACCAGCCTACGAACTGACAATGCAACCTGCTGACGTCAGCAGCGACAACCGAAGTGCATGAAGATGTCGACCCTGTAGACCATCGCCAAGACCAGGTACGTGTCCTTACATCCTCATCCTCATCGCTCTCTCTCTGTCTCCCTCGTCTTCTACACCCACGTCCTGTTCCCATACACAAAGACCACCTCCACCTCCTGCTGACTATCCAAGCCGACCCCGGCTATGGTTGGGCTGGCTATGGCTCTGCCCTCAGCAGCGCCCTGCCTCTCTTTGACGCCCGCGTGTGCCTGCCTTGCACCTAGTGCTAGTGCACAGCGCACAGCCCGCAAGTGCACGCTCAAGCAGCGCTGCCGCATGCACTGCGTAGTGCCCGCCTGTCTGCCCCGTAGCCCTGCCCTTTCCTACATGGAAAGTGGTGGGGCGTGTTGCTGTCCACTTGCCTTGTGAGGCCGAGTTTCCAGTAGCTGTAGCTTCAGTCTCGGCCAAAGTGTCTGCGCCCAGGCCTTTCAGACAGTGGTGTGGGACCGAATTGGTTAGGCATCATGCCCAACCACCCAGGCACAAGTGCGCGGTGTTCCCTGCTTTCGCCACGATGCTGGGAAGAGCCTGGAAGGCTAGCGAATATTTCTGATTCTCACGAGCAAGGCGGATGTAACCAACTGGCGCATGGCAACTGTCTGGCGCCCACCGAGATTTGCAAAAATCACACAAGTCCAGGGCCCATTGAGATTCCAGGGGGGGAAGGGGGGGGGGGGGGGGGGTGCTTCACTTAGGGCGGGCACACGCCTGCTGCAGGGCCTTATGTCGATATGCCAAGGGTAAATCCCTCGCAATACACAAGAACAATAAAAAATATACAAGACGAACATGAATCACATAATGAAAGTTATTACGAAACGATTCTTTTTTTTTTTTTTTTTTTCCCCAGTCATTCTTCTTCTCTGGCAACCTTTGGTCCGGGCTGGCATCCAGGGCCGTGGTCCCACTAGCGAAGGGGATAGGATAGAAATCCTGAATCTGGCTATGTTTTATGCAGAGATACAGAAAAGCAGTTCTATCTCGATTTCCTGCTCCTGTGCTCAAACACGTCCAGATTCAGGCATTCAATCCGATGCTCTTTGCTAATGGGACCACGGCACAGATCTTCGGAGCGGTGAGATGATGTCGCCAGATGTGCATTGAGAAAAAAAAAAAAAAAAAACGTTTTCTGAACTTCACCCCCCACCCAAAAAACGTTTTCTGAACTTCGCCCCCCACCCCCCCCTCTGCACAAGAACAAGTACCGGTTTCGTTCGGGCTGCATGAACTGATGCCCACACCCTGTTGCTATCGCGTCTTCACCCGAATAAATGGAAACGTCCGACGGTTATCGCTGTATCTAGACTGAAAGTTGCCCCGATACAGTAGATGGCAAAACGTGACGTGGTGTGCGCATCTATCATTGATGGGTCCTATGTGGGCGCCAGGTTTTGTAGTGTGAGCTGCTGCAGGAAAATGGTGCAGAAGCTTTTGCAGCCTTCAGCAGTGAGAGAGAGACATCCGAAAAAGCAGATTGAGCCTCTCCTAAAAAAATGGAGGCCATGGACCGTGAATAAAATGAATCGGCAGTTCATTGCCTCCTATTAATATTTTAGGACAGGCTGAATCTCCTTTTTCGGATGTACTGGCGATCTATGAGAGAATATTGGCCATTGGTCTTTGTTCGTTATCTACGATCAATATTTCTACGATCAATACGTCTCGTCATCTGTTTGTGGGAGGGAGGGAGAGACCTCCATGGGCGGGAGGGAGGGACCTTGCCCCTGGCATTGTCTGTGGGAGCGAGGGAGGGAGGGAGGGAAGGAGGGAGGGACCTTGCCCCTGGCATTGTCTGCGGGAGGGAGGGAGGGACCTTGGCCCTGGCAATGTCTGTGGGAGGGAGGGAGGGACCTTGGCCCTGGCATTGTCTGTGGGAGGGAGGGAGGGAGGCCCTGGCAATGTCTGTGGGAGGGAGGGAGGGACCTTGCCCCTGGCATTATCTGTGGGAGGGAGGGAGAGACCTCCGGGGGAAGTGCGGGATGCTTGTTGTTTGTTTGTTTCAACCACCACTCTGACGGCCCCTGAGCCGTTCATTTTTCTTGTCTGCAAGTACTGGGCCATTCTCTACGGTGCCTAGGCCTGGTACAGGTTCACTGGGAAAGGGTACCACAATTTTTTATTTTTATTATTACTTTTTTCTTTTCTTGTCAGAATGCTCCCACCCCGTCAGTCCTCAACCGAAACCAAGGAGTGCGTTCATTGGGGCCAGAGGGCTGCCAACAAGTGCATTCCCCCTACCCAGCATTCGCACTCAAGGATGGGAGGCTCATTTCATGGATCCAGACCAGATTTGTTTCTCCTCACGAGGGCACTATAGATTTTATGTATTTTTTTCCTAAATGTAGTTAGCACCGTAGATTTTAGGATCGGCCGCTCGGGGACATGCAACTTTTGGTTTGTGAAAATTAGCAGTCCGGATAGAGCGGCGGCCCAGCTATCGATGCTGAGCCTGGAATGCCCCTGCACGCCAATTTTTGCCGAACGCCAATTTTTGCCGAAGCGCCGGGGTACTGTTTCAATTTTTTTTTTGGCTGGCGCTTCCAGCCATTGTGGTCCGGTGCCCTGAAGCCCTAAAGGCGCGGCGCGTTAACAGGGAAGCGCTGCGGCCGATAGCTGGGCCAAGTACTGGTGGTTTAAAGCATCAGTACATGGCCCCAACCAAGTTGAGAATAGAATTGAGCCTCTCCTACATTTTTGAAGGCTCGTGCTCCGTTGATAAAAATACATCGGCGGCGAATGGCCGCCTCCGAAAGGGCTCCGCAGCCGATGTCTGTCATGTACTTGTGGTTAAAACCACAGTACTTTTCTGAGTCCTTTTGTTCCAATACAGCTGTTAATGCATCCTGTCCTTCGGCGCCCGGCCTACCGGACCGAAGTGGCTGGCAATGCCAGGCCAAAAAATTGAAAAGTGTGCCAGCGCCACTATTTACTTTTTTTTTTTTTTTTTTTTTTTTTTTTTTTTTTTTCAAATCGGCGCATAACGTATATCTGCATTGGCGAAAGAGGCACGTAAGCACTGGTGATTTAAACGAGAGAAGGAAGCGGAAAAGAGGGGGAAACAAGGAAGATATAAAGGGGTGGAAGTACAAGGCTACAAGCAGTTGATGTGCAGGCTGCAGAGAGCATCCTCTCTGCTACCCACATTATAGAAGCTGTTCA